TGAATTAAAAAAGATTAAATGACAAAAATTAGCAAATGGTGTATAGAAAGTAAAGATGGACGTATGAATAGCACCACCTATTTCATCTAATTCGATATCATAGTATAATAGCAAGCCAATTATCTAATTCTGAACAATCTGTCAAGAAAAAAATCAATTGTGACAAAAAGTATGAAAACAAAACATAATGCCACGAATTAAGGTTGCTACTTTAAACAAAGTTAAGAAAACATCGTTGCAATCGCCAAAAAGTCAACATTCAACAGCAAAGAATGTTAAACATTAATGCCTTCCATTAAGGTTGACAGAAAAATTGGTATAATCCTCCCACAAACCAACAACAATGTCAATAAACCCTCGATTTAGTCGACAGACAACAAATTATAGTACTAACTAAACAGATCACTTTATGTGTTTAGTGTCTTTCGAGTTCTATTTTCGATTAAAAGTTTGTAATCAATTCTATTTGTGCATTACATCGCCTTTTTTCTTTTCTTTTCTAAGCATGTGCATCCTTCTCCCAATTGCATCAATTGCTTATTTAGGAGAGTAAAAACCAGTTCCAAGAACTCCATATGCAGCAGTATCACAATAAACGGTACTAGAACTCAATGACTTATTCCGGTTTCTAAACCGATGACCTTCTCGGCTCCTGTGGTGGCCCTTCGCTTTCTTTTCCACCAATTTTTCTTCACCTGTGCTCTCATTTTTCACCACATCACAGTCAGCTCGCCCCTCTCGTTCAACCCTGTGCTCACCGACTTTGTTTTTTCCCTCATTCGGAACAATGTACACAAAGGGTCCGATTGGGATGTCATTAGTCAAGTCCATAAGAGGTTCCAAGGTCTTGACAACGCTGGTCATTGTTGGTCTACATTTGGGGTTGTGGCTCAGGCATTGGTGAGCCAATGCAGCAGCTTTTCTTGCCCCTATGGTCGAGTACTGACCCTCGAGCCTAGGGTCCATCACGCGGTCAAGTTTATGTGAGTCCTTCAGAAAAGGTTTGAACCGCTCCACTAGGTTCTGTTCTCTACCATGACGGCAATCATCCACGGACCTTCTACCAGTTAGTAGCTCCAAAAGAACTACGCCAAAGCTATATACATCACTCATCGTTGTTAAATGACCTGAAAACAAAGACTGTATGATTAGTGAAAATTTTAAAGTTCGTGCTATTATTTGTACCATCTTAACTGAGGCGTATTTTAGGGTTTGTGGTGGGTAAAAACGGTACAAAAGATGGTCGGTTGAGATAGTGCAAAGAGCACACTACTCAAATTATTGAGTTGCATTACCTGTCTTGACATATTCTGGAGCTGCGTAGCCATGAGTTCCCATGACACGCGTTGTAATGTGTGTTTCATCTCCTTCTGGGCCATCTATGGCTAGACCGAAATCAGACAGCTTAGCCGTGTAATCCTGCAGAAAAAAGGAAGACAAATTTTATCATACGAGCAATATTTACGCTTGTATGAAGAGCAAACGAGAGCTAAGGACAGAAAATTAATTACCGAGTCCAGTAAGATGTTTGAAGTCTTAAAATCGCGGTATATGACTGACTTTTCTTCCTCATGGAGGCAACTGAGGCCTTTTGCAGCTCCAATTGCTATCTTGATTCTTGTTAGCCAAGGTAGGGTTCCACCATAACCTGCATTCATGAACAAACAAACAAATTCATAAACTTTCTGATCCAAAAATTTTTGTGCTCGTTTCAAAAACAAAAAAAAGCAAAAAATAAAATTCATGCATGCATGATCAGAATTGTACGTTTGAATAGCTGGTGATCTAAGTTGCCTCTCTCCATGTACTCATACACCAGAAGCCTGTATTCGTCTTCGCAGCAGTACCCGATCAATTTAACAAGATTCGGGTGCTTCAGTTGCCCAAGAAAAATCACTTCAGCCTACAAAATACATAAGTGTTTGATAATTAGCATTTTTTTTTACAGCTTGGGAAGCATATGAAATGATTAGGAGCAAAGCTTTGAAATAGGGAAAAAGAAATATTACCAGCCACTCCCTATGTCCTTGTTTGCCATCTAAATCCAAGACCTTAACAGCAACAGGCTGAGCTTCCAGTCCAGGCCTAAGCTTGTCATCAATGAACCCCTTGTAGACCTGCCCGAACCCACCCTCACCGAGATAGTTGCTCTTGGAGAAACTTTGTGTAATCTTTTTAAGCTCATTGTGTGAAAAAATATGAAGGTTTGATCCAATAAGTGAATTTGACAGATCACTGAGGACTGTACACACCGATGAGTTACTCAAATCCGACAGTGACAATCTCCGCGATGAGATTTCTTTCGACGTTTGGGATTTTTTGTCTATGATTGGTTTGTTGGCGTTGAAACAACTAGGGGTGAAGAACTTGAATGCTAGTTTTTTGAGACTCATATTTTACTGAGGCTACAAGTTAATTTAAAAAGTAAATATAAGGTTGGATTGGATCAAAACTGAGAAACATTTGGGGGGGTAGATATAGGGTTATAGGGTAATATTTTACACAACTGCAAGAAGAAGTCAAGGACCCAATGATAATAAACTTTTCCTTTTATTTTTAATATTCACGTTCGGTACAAGAAAAATATATAATTCTTAATATTCTAAACATTATTTTAAATTCAGTCATGAGTCTAAAGTAGTATGTGTGTGTGCGCGCGCGTGTGTGTTTATTTTGGTGCCTCTAAGACTTGGAAGGTTTACGGCAAAAAAATAAAAATAAAAATAAAAAACACTTTTGGATGTTTCATATTATGAGGGACCAAGTCCAAGTCTAGTCTCTAGAGGTTAATTTGTCCTAATCACGTGCTAAAACTAATTAGTGGAGTTTCTCGGTAGGTTCAAGTGTTTGTCTTTGTGAGACCTCAGAGAAGTGGTGTCACATCCCGGCTCAGGACGGATCAGTTCCCGGGCCCGCTCCATCACCGTAGCATGATATTGTTCGCTTTGGGCTTACCATTCCCTCACGGTTTTGTTTTTGGGAACTCACGAGCAACTTCCCAGTGGGTCACCCATCATGGGATTGCTCTAGCCCCCTTCTCGCTTAACTTCGGAGTTCCTACGGAACCCGAAGCCAGTGAGCTCCCAAAAGGCCTCGTGCTAGGTAGGGATGGGAATATACATATAAGGATCACTCCCTGGGTGATGTGGGATGTTACAATTGGAATCTTCTTTTTGCGGCAAAAAACTGGTTCAAATGTTCTCACTTCTCATTTCCTAGTACTCTGAAATTCATGTGTGCATCGGTTATAGGAAGCAGGATCTCGAGTGAAGGGATTTCGAGCACAGGATCTCTTGAGTGTAGAGGTTTTGAGCATAATAAGATCTCGAGTGTAGGGGTGAATAGACGTAACCACTGAGCTATAAGAATCCCTTGCAAGCATGTTCAATTTTAATAGTTATATTTAATTATGGAAGTAGGGAGTCTGACTTTAGTGTTAACATTTGTGCTTTGGAAATCCGAATCTCTTCATATCATGGTTGGTTCTGTTGGTTCTAAATGTTTGCTCTTTGGCTTTAAACACTACAATTAGATGATAGATTGGAAGGTTGTTGTAAAACTTTGGAAGACAAACACTAAAACAAATCCATGTAGTCGTTAAGTGACAATGTTTCATTTGTTCATAAATTCGACTGCCACAATATTGCTTGTGTTTTGTTGTGACACATTATGATGACTAAAATTTAAAACTCGGATACATAGTGGGAAATCCATTAATTCTAACTCACGCGGCTACACCGGCGTCTATATGAAACCATGACCTACTTTTTTTAGTTATGAAACCACAAGCTTTAAGAAACTCCAACCCCTTTCATGTAACATGAGATGATAGAACTTGTGTGGATACAGCAAACATGATGCTTGATTCACCAGTCTTTCCTCCGGACTCATCGGTAGGGTGATGCAAAATAAATGTATTTTTTTATTTTATACTAAGTTAGGTTAGCTACTTCCCTCCCGCCCAAGGAATAGAAATAGATTTGTTTTCGTCAGCTCGTTAGCAAGATCGTGCCGAGAAAGTTGAAAATCCACAGCCACGGGCTCTCGTCCATCATCCTCTCTTTCTATAGAGGAGAGATAAAGAAAAAGAAAAGGTTGGTTAGAGCAAACATGATGAGCAAATGTAAACTTGAAATCCGTCACTCGGCACGACCAAAAAGGAGATAGAAAAGGGGAGAAAAGGAAGAAAAGATTCATCATTTCATTGCTTTATTGCTTTCCTTAAAGTTGTGTGGGACTGCACTGCAGGCAGGACCTAGCAACCGAGATAGACTAACAAAGTTACAGTCATTTGGAAGGAGGTCAACACATTTTGTTTAGACAGTCAATGTTCTTGCTTCAAGCTTATAGTTAACAAAGTCAAGTAACTATTTATTTACTCTTACCTTCCATGTAATTTCCTTTCAAACATGTGTCTTGTCTTTTTAGGAAAAAGAAGGGATTTGTCCTGTTTTATAACAATTTCGTTTTTAATTTTCAGTTTTTATTTTGTGTTATTGACGTAGAGAAAACACATGAAAGATATGGAGAAATATAGACCAGAGGAAGGATGGTAGAAGAGTTGTAAAAGAAATGTACACGAAAAGACACAAAATAAAAATAGAAAACCAAAAACTACTTTAAGTTTTTTCACTTTCAATATTCTGTTTTAAATCCTCACATTTCTCCATCGCTCACCTCCTCCATATACCTTCCTCACATCTCAATCACAAAAAACTAAAAACGAAAAACAAAAAACAAAAAACAAAAAACAAAACCAAAAACAAAAAAGAAAAAAACTGAACGGCACGTTTAATAACTGTTTCGGTTGTCAACGACAATGTCAAAAAACCCTCGATTTAGTCGACAGACAACGGATTATACAACTAAATCAACACAAGAGATGTCACTTTGACACCATTCAATACAATCATGCATTTAACTTTGTGCGATTTAACTTTTTCACATTGTCGATGCCTGATTGACTTAAAATATCACCATAATAACATGCTCAAACGATGGACCAAAAAGTAAAAATACTTCGTACTCTTTATTGTTTTATTAAAAAATACAGTATATTTTCGGAATGGAAGGTAAGCGATAGTTAAGTGACTAAACATAAGAGCAGATTTTCGGAATTAAAAGTACAAGAAACGAATTTCAACATGGACTTGACAATGAAACCATCAGAGGGATTCATCCTTTCTTTTTCCTTCTCTTCTTTTTTTGTGTCAACTGACTTTAAAAGGGTATACAAACAAATCTAAACTTCTTGAGCTTCAAATAGTAAAGTATGACTAAAGAAGCATAAAAACTTGGATGAATCAAAGATTGGAAAAACCATAAAAAGAATATCGAAACACAAGGCACTTGATCTCAGACTAAGCAGCTCCATGAAGTAACTCAACTTCTTATACAATGAGCAGAACTCCCTCCGTAAATATACAACTGCAGCACAACAATCGGACGGGAAAAAAAAAAAAAGAGAGAGAGAGAGAACAAATGAGCAGCTTCACAAGTCATTCAGATACATTTAGTTATCATATTCCGTTTAAACTAATACGAAGAATCTATACCTTCTCATAACATAGCCGCACAAAAGCTATATACAGAAAGAACCTGAAATGTTTACCAGAGTAAGTGCGTTATAGAAGACATACATGAAGATACAATATTTCAAACCAAAATATATACAACTAGTCAGCTATACTACCTTGGGTGAACAAAAATGCATTGCCAGAATTGTGACACAACAAAAACAGGGAACATTCTGACACGAGATAATGTCATTCGGTGACTGACGATGCTATCTGACAACAAGGCTCCCATTCTGCTGATGTCTCAAACTTTCAATAAGTGACTGGTAGAATGACTTCAATGCCTTTATATCACTACCCTGAAGAACAAAATGTGCAATGAATTATCAGTACTGCTCTACTAAATATTCAGTTCTGCTTTCTTCTTCAAGCAAATCTAGTTTAACGAACATTCCGTAAACTATTCCTAAATCCACCAGAATTAACTCCAGCCATTTGGTGATCAAGAGACAAGTCAATTCACCAATTCTTTAGAAGCCTAGACTAATCCTAAGCTAGGAGATTACAACAGTATATAAAGTAGCTCAACCATTGGCAATTCCATACTTATTCGAGGATTGGTATATGCCTTAATTAACTAATTTTGGTTTTCAAGTACATGTAATTTCCATCCATTCATCACCAACGTTGGCTATAGCCCAGTTTTCCTGATCAGAAGAGAGGGAGGGGGGTCTCTTTTCGTTCTCAGATATCTTTTGCACGTCTAGACATCTTAGCCGGTGTTAAAAGTGGAATACGCAGCCATGCAAAAACAAAATAATAAAAAGAGAACCAAAACTCATGATTCAAAATAACGTACGATGACTTTTTTGATACCTGCAGCTGCTGGCAATATTTCTCAGCCAAATCTTGGGGGCAATGTGCTGCTGGAAAACCCTTTGAGACAAAATGAGCTAGAAAATCATTGCCAAACTTTTCAAACATAACCTTCTGAGCCAGTACAATTTCTCCAAACAAAACGAGCTGCCAAAGATAAAAATAGGAACTTTCAAGGTAAAGTATGAAGACCCGTTACAAACATCAATAGAAAATCCCAACACAATTTCTCAAAACAATATAATGCTGCTAGATAGGTAAAATAAGTAAAACAAAACAAAACAAATTCAACATCTGCAACAAACGATAATAGGAAATACAAATTATACGGACCCAAAACACAACACTCCTCCATACAGGAAATTCATTGCGCACTTCAATTGTACTTTATTGAGCAATGTTTATGAGCAATTTCCCTTAACATAGAATGGAAACAAACAAAAAATTATTTTTTTTCTTGCATGCAAAACTTCCAACTTCTTAGGATACCTAATTGCTTAAATGGCACTTGTTTTAAGAGTTGTAAATAAGGAAGTCATAGACTGATATATATCGGCCAAATACAGAAGTCAGCTTCTTCTTATTTCTAAGAATACCTAATACAGTTGCTAAATGGCACTTGTTTTAAAAGATATTAAACCTATATAAATGGCACTTGTTTTAAAAGATATTAAACCTATGTAAATAAGAAAAGTTAGAGACGGACATTAGAGATCAGCCAAATACAGATTTAACGCAACAGTTATGTAACAGATTTCAGCTTCTTCCTATTTATAAGAACACACACCACAAACCAAGTGCCAACGTACTATCCAGACCTTGGCCCTTGCAGAAGAAAGTGTAAAATAATCCTTTCAATTGTAGCTTAACTCTAGTTAATGGCTCTTATTACCTATTCTACCACACTTTTAACTCAACCTCTCAACAACCACGTAAATGGATTCCAGAACTTTTCCAAAATCAAATCTCCTTTTACCATACATGATGTATGCAAAAATCAATCGAATGATAATTTCATTAAGCTATAATTTTTCATTTCAAATAAAGAACTTCTCAGACAAGTAAACACTATTTAAGCAGAAAATCCCTGTCTTCAGATCTGTTTTCTAGTCAGCAACCAAGTCTACTATTTGTTTTATGGTGTATATACTCTATGGTATGAGAAGGTAAACTATCAATAAAAATATCAAAAAGATTAGAAATTCAAATCTTACAGTATTTGCATCACGAAATTCGAAAGAGGTGTCGAGCAGGCTGTACAAACAACAGTTCGTAGCAAAGGTCTCTATTATAAAACTCTGGAAACCAGGTACCTGAAAGCAAGGACACCATTTTAAGATGAGAAGAAATATGTTTCAACATTATCGAATAGGAGGCAAGAATAAAGGTTAGCTCATACCTTTTCTTCACCATTAGGCATCGCGCACCAATCCTTAATCAGCCTAATAAATATCTGTACGCATGCCTGAGTTAAAAAAATATTATACTAGACATTAATCCTTATGCAGAGTAATTAGAATGAATAAAAACCATACTTACAAAGGTAAACCAAGTACACATACCTTTCTTACAAGAATATCCTTGTGCTTACAAGATGTGAACAACAGCAACTGCATAATTGGTTGTAAGTAGCTCTTACTCTTGGGGGATAGGAATACAGAAGATAGATCATGTGTAGTTATCACGTGAAGAAACGTATATAATGTTCGCTGAAGTTCTTGCAATTCCCGATTTTCCTGCAAGGACAATGAAGAGTATTAAAGTTCCAGACTTGAGATTCGAACTCAAATAAACTTTCAATATTGTTCAAGTAATATTCAAAATGACGCACTAAAGTAGAATTAGATCCACAGAAGCTTTCACAGCAATAAAAATGAAGCACACATAATCAAACCCATTGCTACCAAGATAGGAAAAGAATTAAGAGGAATTGGAGAATATTATAAATATGATCATTTTAAATCAACACTGACATTTAATTCAATGCTAGAGAATTTAAATTGCCTACGTTGGTGTCTTCTTTTCCCTATTTTTCTCTTCTATCCCCCGTCAAAAAATGAAAACCAAATATTAAGGAAACGAAAACACATAAACACCCACGTGGCTTATAAAAGAGGGAAAGGGGAGGGAAAGACACTAAAATACTCATTTGAGTAATAAATTTTTTGTATAATTCATTCATGAAATAAACGGATAAGACTTGCAAAAACATGCATATTCACTGTTATCATAAAACTCAATTTATGAGAGATATACTTGGTACAAGAACAGCTAATTTAATGCTGAAAAAGAATTAAGAGTTAGTCATGAATTACAAACACTAATAAACAGTGAATCATACCTCAGTATTGGATCCAGGTCCTGAAGGGAGTGTGTCTACCGGAATAATATTTAATATCCTACTAGTTATAGCAGGAAATACTTCATCCAGTATGTCACGGAATAATATGTTGAACTTGCATATCAGTTGATTGAGCAATAGAAGCAAACCAACCAATTCCTTTGGCTGCATGAAATTGAATCCATAACCAAATCAGGTTAGCGACAAAAAAAGGGGAAAGACAGCTGGTGCAAAATAAATTTTTGTTGAGCAGAACTACTATTTTCTAATTTTATATCTTGGTGACTAGTAGCTGGCGAATATTCTCTCTATTTATTACCAGAAAAATCATTTTGTCAAAGTTAGATCTGACAAAAAAACTCAAAAGTAAAGAATTCAGTTATACTGCTTTCTACCTCACTATCCACAAGCAAGTGCTCCAGTGCCTTTGGGAGGTAAGGAAAAACAGATGCTCCTAGAGTGTCCACCATGCGGTGTACAAATGATGTTACCTGGACAAAACATATATTAGCATCAGGTTAAAAGTGCAGATGATAAAATACCAAATCAAAGCACATCTGGTATCCCGCACAGTATGCTTCTTACCTTACTGCGCAAAGTCTCTACATTAGGAAACACCACGAGTACTTGAAGAAGAACATCTAATGTCTGGATAACAAGGGGAAAAAACACACATTGTTAAAACATGAAATAATATAATCACTAATTAGAAGGCTTTACTAAAAGGAATGTAATATCAAATGTCATCATTTATAAGCTGAATCTGAGTATCAGAAAGCCTAGGATTGCTGATTATTAAGTTCATCAAATAAGGGAAAACCCAAGGTCTGGAAACTCTTATTCACAACAAACTCAAAAAGCCCCCAATCCACGATTCTAATCCAGAGGAAAAAAAGCATTCAGAAAAACTAAACTAACCATGTAAGGAAGGTGAACACAAAAAATGATATAGATGCTAACCTGCATGAACATGAGACCAAGTGCAGGGCGACTAGCAGTCACAAGACGCTCGCTGAAGCCCTGGGTGGCACATGAATTTCAGTAGTTAATTTTCTGAAACATAAAGTGCTTACTAAATTTAAAGATGAAAGACAGGGCGGAAAGGCTGATGAATTTTGTACTTTTATTATAAGCTACAACATATTCAACCAAACAAAAAACTTCGACCAAAAAGAAAACCTTTACAACATTAGAACTCCTCTCTTTTAATTTTACCAAACATTGTAAGCGAATTGGTCAAGAGTTTTATAACTTTTTTAGACACATACGCTATTTAATACAAAAAAAAATTGGACAAGAAACACATTAGCTAGAGAGTTAGAGGATGTTGAAGAACCTTGCTGAGAGAATTAATCGCCACGATTATCTGCTTAATATTAGCAAATTTTTGAGGTGCCTCTTCTGGAGTCAGTACTTTGGCATTCATGAGCAATGCTTCAACCTAGATGGTAGGAAGACCATGACAATTGCTTAGTTCACATTTTAACTCCGTTCTTCCTTTTGAGTTATTACAAAATATTTTGAAGGTGTTAAGGAGGGGGAGTGACTTCCATGCAATTATGTAATTTATATTATACGTGCAAATTCAACAACCTGTTGACGAAGAGGATGTGAGAAGTGAAGAGAGATAATCAGACTGCTTTGCTGGTGGTACATCTTCCATGCCAATCAATAAACCAATTGCCTGCGAAGAGACCAAATACACATTAGAACAGGAACAGAACACCCACAGTTTTTAATTTTTACTGAGTGAGAATACTTCCTTCCATTTCATAAATACTGATGCACACACATAAAGATTTGACAGATGTCAAAAAAATATAAGTCAATACCTCAAAAATGTGACTACCATCTTCAGATCCTGAAAGCTCTTTTGATGTATAATCCATTCTTGTAAACCCAGCAACTGAATCTTGTAAATTCTGATAAGATCCATTTGGATTAATTTATGGTAAATTTAGGGAAGCTATTCAACGGAGATAAAAAGACAAAGTGAACGCAAATTAATCAAGTGTGGAAGAACTGAAATATATGTAAGTGGATATATAGGAAAGCAGTTGGGGTACGATGGTTCGTATCATACCTGCAAAATATTTTCTATGAAAGGCACAAGCTTCACTCTCAGCAATTTCACAACCCTCATAAACAGATAACTTGCCCTTCTACTCACATTGACGTTTGGATGGTGTATACCCCTTTCATCAAGAAAGGCAGCCAAAACCAAGTGAATATATTGGGTATTCTCCTGAACAAACTTCATGTATCTCATTACTGTCTCTAGATACACAAGTGCAACTAGCCTATTTGAATGGCAAAGGAACCTTGTAGATAAAAGCATCGGTACCAATTCACCCAATAGACCACTCCCAGTTCTAATTGCCTCACCATTTATTGACTCACCAAATGCATAGAAAAGAGAAAGTGCATCTTCCACCTCTTCAACATTCCAGTCTAAGGATGATCCAACAGCAGTAGCCAATGAGTTTCTAATAAATATCTGAGTGATATCAGGTGCTACACGACCTACATTACGCAGCAGCATAAACAAATCTTTTCTAAACTCCACCATCCTATCTTCCTCCTCTTTTCCAATTTTATCCAATATATCTAGATTTTCACGGTACATAGGATCATAGCGGATCTGTGAACGGATCACTTCCAAAATATGACCTACATGACCCAGCTGTGTTTCCCTCAATGGGGAAAGAGTCTTCATTGTGCCAACATAACCTGAAAGAAATTGCACAATGCTAAATGCCGAGTCCAACTCACAGTTCTGCATAACATAAAATACAGAGGGCAAAACTTCATTCAAGAGCTCCATTGAAATACCCTTGGCATCCTCAGAATTCAACCGTTTAAAGCACTCAAGAACCTCAACCGCATACCCAGTAAGTAATGCAGCTACACTAGATACCAACTCTGAGTCACGATCCTGAGCTACTAGTCCAAAAACTCGATGCATTTGAAGACTTTGCAAAAGCAGGTAGTTTTGCCTGTGGATCCATCCTTTTCGATACTACTGCTGACAAACATCCAGCTGCAGCACTACGGAGTTGTTCGGAGAGCCCATCAACCAAAACCAACTCAAACAATAACGGGATAAAGGCATCATTCACAATTAATCCAATATCAATCCAAGAGATAAACCTCCTCATTGATTCTAATACACTAGTACAAAGCTCTTCATCAGACTTCCTATACATAGACACAATCTCGTACCAGGCTCTAACTATTTGTGCTACACACTGCTGCCTCATAGCATCCTTAATCCCCGCTGCCACTGATAGTTCCTCTGGTGTCCGAGGGTAGTCCAAATTAATCACTTCCTCATCCAAAGCATTCAAAACCCGGCAGAACATATCAATCAACACTGCCCCTTTATTCAGTTGTGACAAAAAATCAACAAACACCGACGACCAAATCAATGGGTACTCATGGTAAATCACAGTCACCAAAACCTGAGCAAGTTTATTCTTTATAAATGCAGGACCTTCTAAAACCCTAACAGTACTCTTATCATCAAACCCACCAAGACATGCAATCGAGAACACCGATTTCCTGATAAAAAGCTTCTCATCTACACTCATCGACGAGTACCGGACTCTAATAACCTCATGTAGAGCCTGTAAGCACCAAAACTGAACTTGAACTAAATTCGAAAAGCACAACCTCTCAATACAGACACTACATATCGCCTGTTGTTCCTTAATTTTATCACAGTAATCTTTTGCCTTCTGTTTCAGCTCAGAATCAACGGTGCCCGACTCATCAAACAATATAAGTACTGCTTTTTCGAGATCATCCATGGACCCAAAAACCCTCAGGTCCAAAATCCAATTAATTTTTTTCTCAAAATTTCAAACTTTATGCTCCGAATAGGTGTTTTCTAAGCAAAAATACGGATTTCCTATCCGGGTTTTTCACAAAGGCAGCTCTGGAATTCCAGAATCCGACGATTATTCAAAAGGGTAGAGATCGAATGAGAGAGAAAGACAGAGAAATTGACAGCTGTCGGAGAGCTTACCTTTGTAAATTTTTTCTTTATTGGATTGGATCAGATCAATTGGAAGATCAATGTGGTAGAGAGGGAGAGGGAGAGAGAGGGAGCTAGGGTTTTTGTCTGGCTTTTTTGTTTGTGTGTTGGGGAGGAAACCCTAGAGGACTGATTTGGATTGGGTCTAATTTATAGTTCTTTTGTTTAGTCTTTCTCAGTCTTCTGTAGGTAGTTAATAGAGTGGGGAGAGGAGAGAGGGAGAGAGCCGAGTGTGACATATGAAGGGAGGGAAAGAAGGGCTTTAGAATTGAAAGGTAAAGCACATCGTGGGATCCAAAGTATGAACGACGTGGGTTACTTGAAATTTTGGAGAAGGAAAATTTACATAAATATAGGTGTGTTGTGAACTATTTTCTGTGAGAGGTGCAGCAATGGAGAGTGAAACTTTAGGATGTGTATCTTTTTTTGTTTGTGCATTTATTTATAGTAAATTAAGAGGATAGAGAACTCACTTCTTCATCCCTTAGTATTGATAGTATCGTTTGTTTGAAGAAAAAAAATACTACTATAAAGACAGAGAAACTTGGTCTCCGAGTAATACAAATCATAATAGAAAGAATCATTAGTATAAAGAGTAAACTAAATTTACCAAGTACTATCACACTTGTACTAGAATTTATGTTATAACACTTCTCCTTGAGTGTAAAAATATTCAAGTAGTTGTCGCGTCAGTTCTTCATGGATGATGTAAAAACTGTTGATGAAGTGTTCTCGTCTAGTCAGCATAATGAGCCATAGGAGTCTCAAAACAAACTGGAAGGAAATATAAAAGGTAAAATCACAAAACCTCACTGTAGTAAAAATCTAGGGTAGAATAATATTAATTGTTTAAGGAGAAGCGTGAGAACTTGTATCAAGTCAAAACTAAACGTCTTTGGGACACAAGTATAACACACAAATGTATGACTAGTCCAGGATAGGTGTCTCATTAAAACTTAGTCAAGTAACAAAATTCCAAAGGGAAAAGTGCTTCTAATCGCAGGGAAAAAGAAAACATTAAGATTAAGTGAGTATACTTCTAGATACTCTTCCTGAGTTTGACAAACTTTCAAATGAGAACTATAAGCATTGCAAATCAGACAATTTGCACATGCCGATTCCTTGAACAAGCTTCTAGACGATAGACTTTAGTAGTGACTTTGTGAAGAGGTTGGCTAGGTTGTCCTAAGAATGGATTTGCTTGATTTCAATCTTTTAATGCTCTTGTTGATGATATGAGAAGAAGAATTTTTGTGCTTCGAATATGTTCCACAATCTCAGCCAGAAGCATTTACGCGTAGCTTCATATATGGTGAGAATTTCAGCATAGTTCAAAGAAGTCGCAATTAAGGTTTGCTTGGTTGACCTCCAAGATATTGTGGTGTCTCAAAAGGTAAAGACATAACCTATTTGAGAACGTGCCTTGTGTGGGTCAAATAAATAACCTACATCAGCAAAACCAACAAGGCAAGAATCAACCCCAGGACTAATGGGGGCGAAGGCTCCTTGATGCGAGAATTACTTGACACTCAAATTAAACCCTCGTTTGACAATTGTAGTAGAATGGATAAGTGAGGGATCGTTCTAGACCGGGGATTAGGAGGGCTTGCTAAAACCTTCTAAATTGACTTAAGAACGTAAAAACAATATAAAACACTAAACTAGACTCAAAGAATGCAAAACTAAAATTTAAAACATTAAGACAAACCAAAAGACTCAAAACTAATTTTGGACGAATTTAAGATTATGGCTTGATTCAAAATACTTTAAAACATAAACTAAACAGATTCTAAACACTAAAGAACAATAAAGTAAAGGGGGGTGGAAAAGTTTTGGTTTGACGAAAATTGAAATAACAAAACAAGTTAATAAACTAAGCGGAATGTAAATATGAATTTGTGATGGAATGAATGGAATGAAGGCTAGCTAAGGGGTTCTTCTCCACACATGTTATACTTGCATACAAGATTGATTCTCAGTTGGTCTTTCGATAAATTATGAAACTCAACACTCCGGATTAATTAGGTCCGCTTAAATTAACCGTCAAGTTTTCCTTAAGTTAATGAATTGGATGGGTTTGCGCAACGCAATTCACAACATTCTCCAAAAGTCCTTTACGTGAACAGCACAATAAAGATACAATCAAAGATCATTAAGTATTATGAAAACTATAAGTGTTGACGAGGCATTCGTTACTATGATGAGCATGAAACTCGTGCCAAGAATTCATTTAACGCGATTGTTTATAAGCAACCTCCACTACTTGTGAATATAAGTTCATAACGATTAGGTGAAAATCACTTATATTCTAGCGTCATATTTATGCATGAAAATTAAGCGCGCATTCTTAATAAACATTCATAAATAAGTTATCAATCAAACGGTTAAACAAATTGAATCCACAACTTATGAAATTCCAACGAAAGTTAATCAATTCATATTGCAAATATAAACATAGTTTCGAATCACCCCCTAGCTAAAGGGGGTTTAGTTCCTCATACCTTTGAAATCAAAGAAACACCTAAACATTCCAACAACTCAAAACTTGAATTGTATGAACGTTTAAGCACTCTTCTCTTCCATTCCTTATACGTACAAAACAAAGAGAATTAAAATGAAACTTTGAAATCAAAGAAACACCTAAACATTCCAACAACTCAAACTTGAATTGTATGAACGTTTAGGCACTCTTCTCTTCCTCGTTGTTGTAGCACAAGGTTTAAGGATAGGTTGGTTGGGGGGATGGAAGTGTGGAATGGAGTGGAAATGGAGAAGATGGAGAAGGGGAAGTGTTTGTGTATTACAATGGAAAATGCGATGCCTTGGTGAATGGAATGAATGGGTATTTATAGGAGGATTAGAGATGTGAATGGATGATTGTTTAAGGTATTTGGTGGAAGGGAAAAGGTGTGGATGGTAATGGAATGGTGGATGGACGGTTTAGTGGATGTAATTTAGGGTTTATTTAGGTGAATGTGGATGCATGGTTTAGTGGATGTAAAGGATAATGGGATGGTGTGGAATTAAAAGCTAAAAAAATGGGATAATGGGCATTTAAGTGTGAATGGAATGGTGGGATGCACTAATGGAAATTATGGAATGGAATGGTGGGATGCACTAATGGAAATTATGGAATGGAATGGTGGAATGCACTAATTAGGAGGAAGAATTAGGGTGAAGGGCTTAATGCATGGATTTGGGCCTAAAATGCCCCCCCTTGCATGGCAAGGGAAAGGACTTGGGCTAAAGCCCACGGCAATGGCTCTAAAATGGGCTAAGGTTAGGGTTTAGGTGTGGCATAGGCTTAGGGTCCACAAAGAGTTAGGGTTTAGGTCATCTAAAAGCCCAAAGCCAGGAATAGAAACTCACGACAATGGAAACCTCCAAGAATAGAAACTTCCAACTTTAGAAACTTTGGTTACCAATTCCGACTTCCTTGCTCTTCACTTTCATTTCTTCATTTCTTAAGCTCCTTTGACCTTCAACCTCGTCCATTCCTCGTGCTCCATTTGCATACACCACATTCCAGCTCAGTTTTGCTCCAAAAGCTCCCAATTGCATCATTTCATGTAATATGTCCTTTAAACCTGAAAACACATGAAAGTAGCTTAAAAGACTACTTTAACGAATAAAACATAACAAAAATGCATAAGAACTAGCTAACTAAGGCGCATAAATATGCTCCTATCAAATTCCCCCACACTTAGCTTTTGCTAGTCCTCGAGCAAAACAAACAAAAGAAAGAAAACAAAACGAAACAAACTAACCAAAACCACAAACTAAACCTTCCAACGTTCGCCTCAGGGATTTCCAATGCACATGACATGTTAAAGATCGTTATCCCTACAGATTTGAGTCCTCTTTACACAAGCACATACTTAATTAAAGCCACTACTCACTTGTTCACAAGTAATCAATTAAAACAATGCTTTGAATGTAGTAACATGCCTTAGAGAATTCCCTCAATTCCTTACAAGATATACACTCTATTTTCACTCAGATTTTCTAACTCCACACCCTAAACTAGTCATATGTGAGAAGATTGATGTAGATATGAAAACGAATGCTCACATATATGTTTCACAACGAATGCAATTTCTAGAGTTAAGAAGCATGTTTAGATATGATCTCATGAATAGAATGCTACTACTTAGATGCGAGAACCAGTGACACCATATGCTCATACCAAATTCAAACTCCACAATTGAAATGCACAACACTCAAGATAGAAGTAGAGGGTTGTAACGGGGCTTGGGGTGTTGGCTAACAAGGAAAGGTAGGGATAAACAAAAGTTCTTTAAGCAATAGCAAGTAAAGCAATGAAATTAAGACCTAGAATTCCCTTAGAATGCAAAAATCAACTTTTAGACAAATAGGGGAAACTCAAACAACTCTTAGGGCCTAATTCATTGGATTGGGCCCTTACTTCAACAACCAATACTTTTCAACTTTTTTTTTTTTTTTTTTTTCAACTCTTTTCTAGCCGTGCCTATGGCACATAAACTCACATCAATAATCCTTCCCCCACACTTATTTTCTGCAACATATTAATCAAAAGGAATTCATTGCTTACTATGCTTCGAGAACAAGGGTAAGGATGGTCCTAATCTAGGCTAGGTGAGGATAATGTGGGTTAACAAAGAACATGGGCTAACACGGCTCAACGGGGTTAAACTTAAACACAAAATGAGTGAAGGGCACATGGCTGTTTGGCTTTGATGGTGGTCACTACACAACTTCATCTTGAATATGTGGTATGCAAATCAATGACATGCTTTGAATGAAATGGGCATGAGTTCTAGCATTTGGAACTAAGTGATGAAACGCCTTCTAAGTAGTAACCAAGCAAAGAATAATGAGATCATGCAACGACTTTAGAAAACATTAATGCACAGATGTTAACTCTCCAAATAACGTTTAAGCTCAAGTCTCACAGGGATGTAGCGTTTGTTTAAGTTCATTCCTTCAAGCATGTTACAAAAACTAATTTTTATCATTTGTGATTACATGTGAATTCGTAAACTATAACGACAACCAAGCATAAACCAAAGAGTATATCAAACGTCCTTCCATGTTTGTAACTTTCTTTAACCATCATGCAATTAAAAACCAAATCCTCATCATTGCGTTGGAAGGTACCCTATGACACAAACACACAAAAACAACTTTAAAACAACTCTTTTGGGTTTTTCAAAACAATTTTTCAAATTTTTATGGGATTTTCGAATTTTT